TATCAGTTACCAGTTCTAAGGAAAAAGAAATCCAGAACATGTAATGGTAGTAGCTGTGAGAGTTTGGAATTAAGGTGCAAGGCACTATGCGTTCTTTCTATTATGTTCTAAACGAACTTCGATACAACTAAACAATTTTTATACAATTTTATACAATATGTCTTTTGTATATTTTGTATCTAATTTATACATAGTAAAAACAAATTTCATACAACTAATTATATATTATACAATTTATCTACAACTTTCACACATTATTTCTACCCACTTAAATACAACTACAATAACATACAACTTAAATACAAGTTTTATACAATATGTCTTTTGTATATTTTGTATCTGATTTAATCATAGTAAAAATAAATTTCATACAACTAATTATATATTATACAACTTATCTACAATTCTCATACATTATTTCTACTCAGTAATATACAACTACAATATCATACAACTTAAATATAATTTTTGTACAATGTTGTTCAACTTTCATACAATAGTTAAATGTAAAAAAGAAAAATATATAAACAACATATTACAATTTTTCCAAAAAATCTGCAGTATAATATATATCATGTCGTCGTCGTCTTCTTCTTCTTCTTCTTCTTCTTCTTCTTTTTCTTCTTCGAGTTTCAATCTGAAATTCAGCCAAAACCAAGTCTAATCTTCACCAAAACCCCTCAAAATTGAGATATAAACTCCAAATAATATTCCCAATTATTTGCAATAACACCCAATCCAAGCAAATAATAATTTTTGAAAATTCAAATTCGAATTCAAAACTTCAAAGCTTTTTAATGGCTGTCAATGGTGGAATTGCTGCTCTCTTTTCCTTTGCTTTACATTACTGAAATTTGGGATTGAGAGATAGAGAGAGACGCAGAGAGAATTCTAAATTCTTTGCAACAACATCCAATTCAAACAAACAATGTTTTTTGAAAGCCCAAATTCGAATTCAAAAGCTTCAAAGCTTTTTAATGGTAGTCAATGGTGGAATTGATGCTCTCTTGTACAAGATACGTGGGGGAGGGGGTGAGATGTGGAGAGAGAAACGTGGGTGAGTGGAAGATATGTTAGAGTAATTTTAGGACACTAATTATTATCATTAATTCTCTTAAAATATAAATAAATGGTAATTGGGTATATAAAATATAATTATAATAAAACTTAAGTAGGGAGGGTAATATAGTTTCATATAGTGTATAAAAATATAAAAATTCCTTCTTTTTTAGTGCCGCATTTGGTGATGAAAAGTGAAACAGAAAGTATAACACGTCGATGCTTATCCTCGAGTTCATTACTCAGACATTTACCGAACATGTGAAATTATTGAGTAAATGACTTTTCTTTCATTTATAATAAAAAAATCACTCAATTATTTCTGTTGCACTCTATAATCTCTCAATCAGATTTATTAATTTTTTCGATAGAAAATACTGACTTGGCAGTCGACATGTACTTTTGGACTACATAAAATAATCAACACCAAAATAAAATATAAAAATCCACCCATAAACCCAATCCGTTTCAATGTGACCCGTTTATAAAAAAAAGCGTTGTAAGACTTTTAGGTGAATTTTTATCTTTATAAACGGTTCGGATCGGGTGTATGATTGGGTTTATACGAATTGTTGGGGTGTTAATTATTCTATATGGTCCAAACGTCTATGTGGACTGCCAAGTCAACACTTTTCACTGGAAAAATCAATAAATCTAGTCGAGTGATTATCAATTTATCATAGTGCAATACAGATAGTTGACTGACTTTCTTGTTACTAATGAAAGAAAAGTGACTTTACTCCATAATTTCACATAGTTCAGTGACTATCTGAGTAAGTTATCCTCCATATAAATGCCAGAAAACTTAGTTAAAAACAAATCGAAATGTATCTTAAATTAGATAAAAGAAGATCTAAAGCATGAAATATTGACGAGTAGTTAGTCTAAAGTTTTAGTCCAAATGGAGTAAGTATTTCGCAATACACTAAATTAATAAAATCCAGTTTAAAGTGAAGCAAGTAATTTGCAATATAGTATACTAATGAACTTCCTATGTACAAAGTTCCGACTGGATTAGTTGAAAATTTCACTTACACTCTAATTAGGTAAATGTTTCTAAGTCGACACACAATTATTGGACATGATAGAAACTTTCAAGCATAAACAAGTGACAAATTATTTATTAGCTTTAGGAATTTAAATTTATTAAGGAGTTCTTCCCACGTCAGGTCACGTTTAATTTTTTTTCTTCTCCAGTTTCTTTTTTGATGCTAGTATTAGGTACTAACAAATCGGTTTCTTTTTTCGCATTAACATTTGATTATAACTCTCGTACTTAGGATGTCCCTAACGAGCATAGATCTTCAATACAAAAACTAGAAGCTCAACCATCCTGTCAATAATTAATATATTTGCCTATAAATCTAACAGACCCTTTAATCAATTACGTGAAACAAGCATAGGTACTCCGAGTTATTAAAAAGTACTATAACAATAATGTTTGCTCAAAAAATGTTACACATCTTACGAGTACTAAACAATATAAATTAATCCCGGGATAATCATAGCAAATCGTAATAATCCGTTGGACCAAATGAAAGAAACTAAATTAAGAACTCAGAATTAGGGGGAGAAGCATTAGAAACCTTTATTGATAATATTTGTTTGGTCTGCCTCTCCATGAAGAGGTTCAGAGCCTTACAATGGTGTTTTTCTCTTCCCATAAGAGGGGTATATTTTCTCGTTTCTCTCTCCTCTCTCCTCTCACTAGTGGTCAAGAAGCCCCCCTTTTCTAGGGCTACTGCTCTTCGTATTTATAGATGTGAGCTTTGTGAGCTGGCAATAAATGGCCGTGGCCATGCTGAAGTTCCGTCCCCATGGGGGAATGACTGGGCCGTACCCTCGTAGATTAAATCGGACCAGAGTCGAGTCCTGTTACGAATAAAGTGGCCATACCACTTTATTAATTATGTATTAGCTCAGGACGAGATTAACTCCGTTAATTATCGTGGGGTCGGATTTTGACCCATACAGTTAGTCCCTCCGCTTATTGAGGTCGGGCCTCGGCCGAGCTCGATGAGCGGACTTTGTCGATTGTGATTTGAAAACAACTCGAATAAGGGGGGGTCGTCTTATTGGCGGCGGTGGCCTTAGCCGTTTACACGTTGGCGCTGACCGTAGCCCTTCGTACATTGGAGAGCCTTTTATACATTAGAGATGGTCGTAGCCTTTCATATGTTGAGGTTGGCCGTAGCCTATATTGGAGATGGCCGTAGCCATTTGCATATTGAGGACGGCCGTAGCCTTTTATATATTGGAGATGGCCGTGGGGAATGAATATGCGCCGAGTACGTATTTGGTCGTCCAAAATTTTAGCGGCGTACGGCACATTCTTTCAGTGTTCACAGGTCGTAGCGATTGTTCTGACAGCGGTATGCTGGCGGATGGCTGAGAAGCCGCTTTATGGAGCTCGTCATAATGACGCTTGTTACGACAGAACCGAACCGTTTTACGGTTGGTCGTGCAGTTAATGATGGCCATTGGGCTTCGCAAAAGCCATTTATGTTGCCTATAAAGGTGGGTTGAGGCATTTATTCCTCATATTTTCATTGTTCATCTGAGAGAGAGATTCTGAGGAAACTTTTTCGTTTTGCTAATTCATCTTCTCTTTTCTTTCCTTTGATTGTGACAACATTTGTCTTCAGTAGATCAACAATGGCAGTCAGTTCTTCTCACGGTGCTCCTCCGGTAGATTTTCCGGTAGTTGAAGGACCATCTCCGACAATTGGAGGTGCAGAACAGATGGAGTCCGGCGAAATCCCGTCGGTTGACGAGGTGGTTCCTCGGCCCGGAGGTCCGGCAATCGATTTCACCGTCGACGGTGGAGAGGAACCGGTGGATGAAGCCCCGTTGATGGGGGAAATCGGGATGGCCCGATTGCGGGAACAGGGTGNCCTCTCACTAGTGGTCAAGAAGCCCCCCTTTTCTAGGGCTACTGCTCTTCGTATTTATAGATGTGAGCTTTGTGAGCTGGCAATAAATGGCCGTGGCCATGCTGAAGTTCCGTCCCCATGGGGGAATGACTGGGCCGTACCCTCGTAGATTAAATCGGACCATAGTCGAGTCCTGTTACGAATAAAGTGGCCATACCACTTTATTAATTATGTATTAGCTCAGGACGAGATTAACTCCGTTAATTATCGTGGGGTCGGATTTTGACCCATACAAATAACATACCCAATATAATTCTACAAGTGAGGTTGGGAGGATAGTGTATACTCATATCTTACCCCTACTTTGTGAAGGTAAAGAAACTTTTTGCCATAGATCCTCAACTGAAGGAAAGCATTTCAAAGACGTTTTAAAAAAGAAAACCGGTTGTGAAAGAAGCCATGAAAATTTAGTAAGGAAAGAAATACAAAGTATTTGAAAAAAGAGGCATTAACAACAGTAAAATAATAAGATAATCGAAATACAAGAAACAACATGTAGTACTAACTGGTATGAAAGAAGACGAAGAAGATAAAAAGCTCCAAACTACCACCAAGTGTCTCCCATAGAAAAGCGAGACGACGCTCGACTACCTACTAACTTCTATCCTAATTCACGACCTCAATATCCTCTTATTTAGGGGCATGTTCTCGATGAATTGAAGATGCATTATGTCCTATTTAATCACCTCTCCTCAATACTTTTTTGATCTACCTCTGCCTCTTCATAGATCCACCATTGTCAACCTCCCGCACCTCCGCACCTCTTTATATTAAGAAGTAATAAGCCAAAAAAATAAAATAAAGACTTTTAAAGAGATGCTTAGTAGCATTCGGCTTTTTATTCACATTTGATATTGCATTAAACCAAGAAAAACATAACATGTCATCTACGTATACTTCCTTTTCTTTTTTAAATCTTTTTGTCATAGCTAACTAAATATAGTGTGTTTATCTAATTTGATACCTAAACCGAACATCAATAGATATTTTCACCTTGAACAACTCCAATAAAGAAGGTAATTTGGAATGTAGCATAAAGTTTCAAATAAGAAAAAAAAAAGAAAAAGAATTCAACGAATTTAGCAATAAACACATTTGTAATTTGACTCTTGCACGTCATACTTTACAAGTAGCACATCTCTAACCCTACACATATCTACAAGTCAAATAATCCCCCAATTTCAAGGCCCAAGTCCGCTATGACTGCGTAAAAAAGGGCATCCCTCCATTTCAGCACATGCCACGTCGACATCAGGTGCCACATCAGATTGCCACGTGTAATAGGACATTCGTTTGCGTTTTCTGACAGTCCGTCATTCTTGTCTTCCTGTCTTTTTTCTTCCCACGCCATCAGCGTGACATTTTTTATATTCCTCTATTACGGTGTCTGTGCCCGAGTTTGTAACTGAGTTCCACCGCTTTCTAAATCCAACTCGGCGGCGCAACTCGTTCCGGCCCGAGGTGAATGGCTAGCTCCGGTGGGCGTTTTCCTGTTCATACTTAGTATTCTTTTCAAAGATAATAATCGAGACGCCGGTGACCTCGATTGACTCGCCGGTGAACTCAGTCTGAGTCCCATTTCCAACTCGTCTTCCAATTCGTTTCTCGGTACCTCTATTCTCACTTCTGTTAGATCCAATCCTTTTCTTCGCCCACCTAACGACGTCGTACTCACACTACTATTCTCCCCCTCCTGGTGCTGACACATGTTGCAGAAACCGGAACTCGAACCCGGTTCAGACGCTTCATTCACCGTCACCGCTACCTCAGTCCGGTTCTCGTCCGGTTCCACCGGAGACCGACAAAGAGGGCAAGTGGAATGAGAATGAAACCACATATCAATACACTCCAAATGAAAAGAGTGATTACACTTGGGCAAAACACGGCCATTTTCATTCTCCTCAAATTCCGATAAACAAACGGCACATTCCAGCGGTTCAGTGTGAGTCTTCGATGAATAAACAAAAGCCGGTAGCGAGTTAAGAACTGACGGTTCTAAACCCCGGTTCGCATCAGATAAACCAGAAGTAGGATTATCAACGTAGAACACTATATGGGTGCGGCGATGGTGGATTCTACGGCGGCGGAGGATTTCACGGCGGCGCAGACGGAGAAGGTACCAACGAGCATAAAGATGAAGACCCACCATAAAAACAACAACGGCGAATAAGATAACAATAGCGCTCAGCATTATTTTTCCACTTAATGCATAGCCTTTGGAGGATGAATCAATTAACGGATCGTGAATACTTGGGTTATCGTTATCCATTGTAGAAATTAAATATGTGGAAAAAGATAGTCCACAGAGAAATGGGTTTATGGAAATTAGAACGAAGAGATAGGGGGTAAGGTGAGTATATATAAAGAGGAAGAAGGAACGAGGAAAGTTCTTGTTGGTTTCGGTGGAAAAGGAAGATTTTAGGTAAGGTGGTTTTAGTAGTGAGAGTTGTAGAATAATTTGATATTGGAAATCTATAAGACGCCATTGTTGACGCGGGATTGGGGAAATGACTGAAATGCCTTGGATCTTCCCGCGTGAACACAGTGGAATGTTAGTTAATTAGACTTAAAATAAAATGGAAAAGTTTTGTTAGGTTCGTTGAATTAAGGTGTCTGTTTAAAGTTGCGTTACTTAATTCAAAGAGCTTTATGGTGTTTCCATAAATGTATTTTCATTTATGACAAGGACTTAAGTAGAGGCCGATTTTTATTTTTTGGGAAGACTTAGTCGCGTTGCACGTGTACCCTAATATCGCTGGATACAAAATTTTAAAAATTACCTAAATATCATTAAATAATATATTTTAATTATTAAATATAAATTATAATATAGTATAAGTTCCTGAAATAATGTATGGCGGTTCTATTTAGTTAATTCGATAAAAGGAGAAATTACGCCATATTTAAATCATCAAATGTCATATTTATAACGTTTCCATATGAGCTGAATAAATCTTTAGAGAGAAGCACAAGGTGTTGATGTACATCCATGTGACTCACAACAATATTTCAATTCTTTTATAACCTTTACGTTTCTCTAACAAACAATTTGAAAAGACAATATTTCAATTCTTTTATAACCTTTACGTTTCTCTAACAAACAATTTGAAAAGACAACCTCGAATATTGCAAGCCCGTAAGAGAAATTATTGAGTTTGAGGACAATTCAAGCTTATCAAACTCAGATGGTTATGAAAAAGTCCTAATTGAAGTAGGTTTCTATTAAAAGCTTGATTAATATTCGTTTTTCTTTTTGTAAGGTTTTACTTTAGCATGAAGATGGAGAGTAGCGGCAGAAAGCCTAGAGTCAGAGAATTCAATTCCTTGTGATTTTTGGATTTGCCTCCAACTTACCCAAGTTGTGCGATTATCCTTTCTCTTAGATTAATTAACAGAATATACTTGATGTAAAAAAAAAAAAATTAATTTACAAAAGATGTAACAATAATCTCTTCATTTACTCTAAAATTAGGTATTCGAACTTGATGTATTACGTTAAGTGTCTTATTATACGAATTTTTAAAATATGATGTTTAATTAAAAAGTTTGTTTATGCTCAAAAATTGGAGAAGTTATACTAATAATATATATTAGGATGAATTCATATTTTTCACACATAATATTATATGATTGAAGAGTACAAAGGTCGTGTGACTTTAATTGGCATTTTGAGCTATTAATTTTTTCATTTGGTTCATCCCACTACTATTTTTTTTTTTGAGTAAATGCATTGAGAAAAAAGCATGAAAATTTACCTTAAAGTACAAAATTTCTCAAATAATATGATTTTGCATTTTTCTTCATAATCGATATGTATATAACAAACTATTTGATTCTACCTTAACCACAAAAAATTATAAATAATATTTTTGATGTAATAAATTCTTTTTTCTTCTTCTTTGTGGTCATGATTAATATATTAGTTTTTTTTTGTCCAAATATATTCATATTTATTATTATCAGTATTGGTAACTTACCTTAGTAAAGCTTTTGTTGCCTTTAACTTACTCATAATCTGATGTGGCAGTATAAGTAAATGCAATATCTCTATTTTTGGTTTCTTATGTCCTCTTTGACAACTCTTGAAACTAATAGTCAAATAAATTTTTATTTTATTTTATTGATATTCCTAGATTTTCACAGTTTACTTTCTATAATGATTATCAATTTCTTATATGATTACTATCTTTTTTCAGCAATGATTACTATTCCAAGAATTAATGACAGATACTAAATTTTAAAAATAGAAAAAAAAATATAATTTAATAAACAAACTTTTAAATAAATATTTAATGTTTAAAGTTTTGATTAAAATACAAAGGACAAAGAATACAAAAATTGTTCTGGAGTTTCCTCGTAGGAAACGAAACTTCCCTTATACTTTTAATAGTTAGTATATAGATTATTTTATGGCTTAGTTGATGAGTTGGGACTATTTAACTTTTTCTTCTCTTTGTAACGAATTGTAAAGTCCTTATAATTTAAAATATTAAAACTTCTTATTTAGTTCAAATAAAGAATGATTTTAAAAAAATAGTTATAAGGAAAATAATTAAATAACTATTTCTGAATAGTAGAAAATTAATTAAATGTTATTCCTATACATTAGAAAAATTAATTGAATGATTATTTTGTCCAATGTGAACTCTATTTTAAAAGGGTAAAAAGGGCGAACGACATTTCACTAAGGGCTTTCGTGCTTTTAATATAATATAGATAGAGTGTACTAGTACGAAAAGGTGAATTCGAAATATAAATTTTATAGGTTTAACCTTTAATTAAAAAAAATCTTTCATTTTTACTATTGCACCCATTATATTTTTGAAATTATAAGTTTAATTTTTTTTTTTAAATAGTGATGTTCTTACATCTCTATCTATACACATATCGAAAATGTTGGAATCAGTTGAACTCATTGACTATATACTACATCATAAACTGCTACTCATTTCAATATACATATTTCGTTTAATCATATAAGATTTTATGGTGACAAAAAGAATAGGAATTTCCATGTTTGAAAATTTTGAAAAAATAAACCAAATAAAGAAAGAATTTTTTTTTAATTAATGCGCAAAAATTGACATCAAACATGCCCATCTCCCTGTTAGGATCGAAAAAAATCAGGTGTCATGCGGAAGCTATTAAAGCAACATTGAACGATGATAAATCAGATAACAAAAGAGAAATACCAAAAGGTACAAACATTTAACGTGGTTCGGTCAATTGACCTACGCCCACAGATGGATATGAGTAATCCACTATATAAAAGAGAGTACAAAATATTGAGAGAACAACCTCACAAAGAGGCAAACACAAGTGACACACTAACACTTGTCCTGTGAAGTTCGTATACGGTCGAAATCAGGTGTGCCCGATTTCGTGGGATCGAGGGATCGCTTCGAGAGTAAGTTCAAAAAGGACCAGGCTCGAGCCCGATGGCGGAGTACAAGATTCGAAGATCGAAGTGCTCGATGAACACCAAGGCCAAGTATGACCAACCTCAAGATAATACCGTTATGGTTTTATAACAGAAATAGCGAGATTCCCGCAATGGCCCTAAGATCACGGCGTAAATTCCGGAACGGATTTGTACTAGGCGGTTAGACAGCTGTCCAATAAGATTCCCTACTAAAAATGGAAATGTACCTTATTTAGGACTCCCCTATTATATAAAGGGGAGCCCATTCATTTGTAACATCATCAATCATTGACAAGAGAATATACATACATCACTTTCTTGCTTATTGTTGATAAGGATTGCCGTATTATTTTATTGTTCTTACTAACCCACCTCGAGGCTGCCTTAGCTCGAGGCCGAGACTTGTTTGCGCACCGATTTGATTTACTTTACTCTTTAATTTATACATCTGATTCCTTGTTTATCGATTGGTATTGGATTAACACATATCTTTAAAACCACGAAACAAGTTTAATTATTACTCGGATTTTAGGGTAAACAAAGTTCTCCTCCTGAACATGACTCTCAAACCCCTTATGGCTACATTGTGGATGTTGCTGAATGAGAAAGAAAGATCCTCAATTTATATAACTCCAAACCTTTTCCTACAAGAAAAGGGACTAGCCAAATATGGGAGATTTATGTTTCCTTCTATGAATAAGAAAACCAAATATGGTAAATATGTTGCCCTTTCCTTCAAGATATAGGAAAACAAATTATAACAAGAAAATCTGGACAAACACCTAACACTCCCTTGGGTGCCTAATGGCATAGAAAAATAACACCGAGAATGATATAAAGTTTGAACTCAAAACCTCACTTAGTGAGGTGCACCCAATAACTATCGTATCTTATGAGACTTTGAGCTTGGGTGCACATACATATATTTAAGTACTAGTCCTTGACACGTGCGTTGCATGTGTATTTCATGTAAGTTGTACATATTGTATAAATCATATTTAAATTACATTGTTATTAGTAAAAGAAAATGTAATTTATAAAATTTAAGTTTACAAGGAGTAAAAGTCTGCCTATTATATATTTTCTGAACCTGCAAAATTGAACAGATAAAATTTGTTAGGATTGGTATATTTGTAGTATCTATATTTTGATGTTAGTAGGTACAAATAACTATCTTACCTAATACTTTCTTATAGACGATGTTTTTGGTGTATGTTCCACTTCTACGTTTCGGTTGCTCTGTCATGACCAAAACTCTTATTGCGGATATTGATATCCCTCTTGAAAGTGCGACATACAATTGTCCATGAGAGAAAATATGTTGTGGAAAATACAAGCCAACGTGGAGAATTCTTTGGCCTTGTGCTTTATTTATTGTCATGGAAAAGCAAAGACGTACTGGAAATTGCTTCCGAATGAATTTGAAAGGATATCCTTCATTTTCAGGGGGCGAAAGTTGAATTCTGGGAAGAAATACATACTTATTTGCACAATGTCCAATCATTATTTCAGCATGTAAGACATTATTGTTAAAGCCTCTACATATCATTCTTGTGCCGTTGCATAATCTATTTGAAGGGTCTAAATTCTCGAGTAACATGATTGGTGCATTCTTCTTCAAAACTAACCTGTACAAAATGAAAAACTTAATATTAATTTTCTTTCTGAAATATGTATGTATATGCAAGCACAAGTGAGATATGAGTGGAAAAATTGAATGTGTATATACATATAGTATTTGTCATTTAACCTGTGTGGAGGGAGACCATTTGGTGTCAGAGTATTTAGATATTCTTCCTGGTAGTAGTTATTGGTGTCATCTTCTGTAGAGTCAAAACTTATAAAAGTTTTGCTTTCACCTGGAAATGTGGTTATCAATCTCTCATTTAGTTTTATCAACATACTCATTTCGGCTTGCTAAGATAGCCCGCTCTATTACATATTGTGCAGAGCTTGCATTTTCCTGTAGTAACGGAAATATTTCTTTTATCAAGCAATCAACAGCTGTATCATC